TAGTGCCAATATGAAAATAAAATATGAAAATAAATACAGTAACGTTTATAAATGGAAAAATATAGTTTTTTTTTAGTATATATATTAAGGGAATTTATGACGTAACTATAAAACTAAAAAATTCTACGATTGTACAAATGTTTGTTTCGATTTAAATAATATCCTCTACCAAATATTCAGTTCCAACTTTACTTAAAGCATCGTAAATGATCAAAGATAAGATGATGATATTAATCAAGAGTTATTTCAGTACCTACCGTAATTTACAATATGTATTAATTTAAACGTACCAATCTAAAATACATTTTACATGGAATATTTTGATAATATTTACGAGTACTTGATTGTTTACAGAAGGTTGTCTGAGGACAAATTAAATACTAAAATTAATAATTAGTAATTAATAATTATTAGTCACCCCCAAAAACACGACCATATGACTACGAAATGCATGCGCATTTCAGAGTGAAAGTTATAAAACATATAGGTAATTCACATTACAAAGTATAATCATTAATCATTATTCATTAAAAATAATGTAATGTACTGAAAATAGATAAGCAATTAATGTAACAATACATTTTAAAATAAATATCAATGATACAGCTACTGTAAGTATGTTACACTAATAAAATAATACACAAAGTAATGCTCTATCTAAAGTATAATAATTATTAATTAGTGAGAAATAATTTATAAGGTAGTATAATATTGATTTTATCTTTTAATTCTTACCAGCTGGGTTGTAAGAAAATATTAAAAATTTGCGTTTAACATTTTGGCTTCAAAACATGTTTTCACAATTTTATGTATGGTTTCTGAATAAGTCGAAAGAATAGTGAAATACTAGTTAAAGTCGAAAATATTGAAAATACCGGTTTTTAATTTATTGTATTATATAAATACATAAGTATAAAAACCATTTATGCGGTACACTTTTAAATTAATTTTTCGTATCATTTAATTGAGTAAACCAAATATTAAAAAAATAATTGAAATTACAAAATATAAATTAGGTGTATTATTTTTTTAAATTAATTCTTATTATTCCTTAACAGTTATAATGTTTAGAATTTATTTTTTAAATAGGTTTTCAACTATTCAAATTGAATTGATACAATTTAGGTAGCGATCAATTGTATACTTATCAGCTATTACTTATAAATATATTAGATTAATCACAAAACGGTAACATGGTGTCACTAATTCATTAAACACTAAAACAATTTAAGCTTTCTGTAACGTCATTCTATGCTTGATGACTAGAGTACCATGGGCCATGACTAATGACATCTTACGTGTAACCTTCATGTGCCAACAGTCAGTGAAATTCCATCAACAAATTACTAACGTTTCTGTATGCAACTAGGATATATAAAACACCAGCCACCAAGTATTTCATTTTACTCACCAGTCATATATAATAGATAACCTTATAAGTTATAATACAAAAATAGTAAAAGAAAAAACATGTTCAGTGACAAATTATTTACTTTAGAACGTAATAAGTGCATAGATCTTTGTGATTTTAAATAATTAATTTCTCGTCAAAATGTTGAATAACTATATATTCATTTTTAAGTTCATCATTTAACTATCCATTTTAAGTCCCCTTGGGAAATGATAGTTTTTTTATATTAATAGGCACCTTAATACGACAATCATAGCAAAAATAATAAAAATCTATTTCTACAATTTTGCACAAAATATTATAAAATTGTTTAAATAATTACTTTAAAATTGTATTGAACTTACTTATTATTATAGTTATTAGCAATAACTTATTACTAAGACTACATCACACCATACAAAATAAGAAAAAATGATATTATTTATACCTACTAATATGAAGTAGGTAGTAAAATTGTTTATAATTTTAATCACATTGAATCACAAATGACTAAACTTTGTATTCATATATTATTATTTCATATTATAATATATATATTTAAACATAATAAATACATATTTGTTTTTTCTAAAATAATAGCTACAATAATTTCGTTTTTTGGGGGGATGCAAGCTGTACAATTTTTTATTATCTTAATTTTTTTTTTTTGATCCCATAAAACGCATCAACTAGCAACTACCATTGGTTGAAAAAAATTTAAAAGCAAAAATACTATTAAAAATTATTGATAAAATTATTATTTACCCTTAGAAGCCAATATATATTACAAAAAAAAGCTTAAAGGCAAAACCCTTATAAAAATATACAAATAAGCACATAACGTGCATAATAATTACATTTGTAAATTTTTCTTTTAATATCTATTTGCAAAAAGTTAAATACCTACTTAAATTAAAATAACTCTAATAATAAACATAAATTATTATCATAAATACGCGGATATGCAGCTATTGGTTCTTCTAAGTTATAGTTTCTTCTTTTTCAGTTGCAGTCACTATAAGATTAAACATCTTTCATCGCCAACAGCTGTACGTAAATAAGATTTCACTCGTTTAAGCTTTCGTTTGATGAAATTGTTATTTTTTACAGATTTTACTAATAATTAATAAAATACGTTTTAAGGTTCGATTCAAGCTATTCGATTTAAATTATATTAGCGGTCCCTCACGGACGTTACCAAAATGATAAACAAATAACTTACCTCGAATAACTTTTAATATTGGTTCTATCACAATTCATACAACTTTTAATATTGGTTCTATCACAATTCATACAACTTACATTTTATGTTAATTATTAGTAAAATAATTAAACTGTAATAGGTACCTATGTTATGGATATTGAATTTTAACTAATTAACTACTTGATCAAAGTATAATCTCAAATATTTATCAATACACAATATAAATGAGTACATTATTCCGGTGCATACATTGTACCATTAGTTATAAATATTTATGATCAATTATTGTACACAGCTGCCGACGTTGGCAGGTCAGTTGAAATTATTTTAAATGTAAGGGGTGCTACTATACATCTGGGACCTCTCCCTCGCAAATGATGGCACTGATAAAAAGCGTGATATTATTTTTAATTTTTGTTACCTACTATTAAATTAGAATATTTGAAAAAAAATATGTATTTTTTTTTGCAAACAATTTGGTTCATTTATTTTTAAGCCATTAAACATAACTATAAGTGATGTATAAGCACTCCGTATTCAAATAATATGGAATAAGCTGTTTTAAAATTTACAAAATTAAAATACTAGCAATTATAATCTAATTTGTGTCCTAAAGAGCAATGTTATGATATTAATTTGTAATTTGTATGCATCAAAAATTTATGTTTTATTAATTTTACACCTTAAAACATAAATGTACATGAGTAGTGAGTAAATCCATTTCCCTTAAATTGGTTTTGCCCTGTAGCTGAAACCATACATTTTTTTCTTATCAATAATTATTTATGCATGCTTACGTTGTCATGCCTTAGCAGGTGCATTAGATATATTTGTAGTTAATTAAATTATGCTATTAGGATAATATTATTATATTATAGATTTCTGTTCGAATGCATGGATAATTTAATTAATATTTCATTTACATAAAAATTAAGGGTTATCACTTATCAGTTATCAGTTACCAATTATCATGACTAATCTATATTATTAAAAATGAATCATTTATTAAAAGACTCAGTGCTATCACTATGATATAAAACAAAAATAGAAAAGTTCTATGCATTTATAATATTAAATACAGAAATCAGAATCATTTTTTATTTATATTCCTATCTAATCTTAGCTTTTAGGTCTAAACAACAATGCAAGTATTCATCATTTTCATTTTTCTATTGGTAATAATAGCTAACATGTTGACTATGGAGTATTAATATTTGACTCCAAACCATTTATCTCCGCATATCTATAATTATTATAATATTGCACAATAAGAGTACCTACATGGCTACATAGCTAGATACCTACTACTAAGTTTGCGTGATTGAGGTGGACGGTAAACAAGCAAAGAATAAAAGAATAGAAATTAAATAATATCTACATCGTGGTGAGCAAGAACTCGATGTGAAAATGATCGAATGTCGTCACAGATCGCGTTATTATAAGTTATAACCCAGCTGCAGGGAATTCGACCGGATGTAATTTTACCTCAAAATGGTGGTTACTGAACGTAGGGCTTATCATACGGAGATGATGTAACGTTTGCAATCAGATCTGGACCACGAGTAATGTGTGGACCGCATGCTCCGAACATCGAAAGTGGTCGGTTGTTATACTGCATACTTTTACCCATAGTTACACGACCATACAATATTGAAGGAGGCGTGTTTGGTTTGTCGACTAGCAAGGCCTATAGACTATTATCCATTATAAATCATAACCCCGAGTAGTAAAAAATATATAATATGTAATATTATATTACACTACGAAGTGGCTCCTATAGAACAATAACTTAAAAAGTAATAACTAATAATATTTTTTAACGTCGTGAAATTTATTTGGCCACGTATAGGTACAGGTAACAGGCCTGCGGAAGAAAAGAAAAAATTTAAACAAAAATAGCTACATATAATAATACTACTACTATATCGCACTGTAAACCGGCCGAACGTCAATCGAACCGGAACGGTCGCACGCGTGGGCGGGCGGCGATCATCGCGTGCCGCGCATTACGTGACGACCACAAGCATGATAATAATATAATATTATAAATTATCGTAGTATCGTTGTCGCGCCGCCGCGGAGGACAAGTTCATCGGCAGCAGATTGAGCCGGCTGCCAAGGGTAACTGACATCGAAGGTACCTATATATCCGCAGTGGCGATTGAGAGTAAAAGTATAAGCCGTAGGTATGTATTATAATAGGTACCTGTAGTGCATAGGTACCCGCAGCTATTACACACGTAGAGCGATATTATTATTATTATTATTAAAAATATGTATAACATGCGACTGTCTTTATGACGTGCAACAGGTGTGTACGACGGGGAAAGACCGATCGGCCGACTCAGACTTGGCGGGCGGGGCGTTTCGTACCTTCCTACAGGTTACCGCTATATATATAACGTGGACCCGAGCAGAACGATGTGCGATTCGTATTGCCGACCGTCCTACAGCAAGAAGAAGACCGTCCGTTAATATATTAATATCATCGCCGCACGGCGAACATCAAAATATAACATTCTTCTTGTACGTCTTTTCGTTTTCATTATCTCATCGGATTACGATTTTCACCGCTCACTGACGTCATGTTGTTGAAGTTAACGCCGGTAAGTCATTCGAAATACGACATAATACTATATAAAGGGAACCTTTTTCTTTTTACTACGAATTGTTACGATATTTGTTTCTATGGCAGAACAGATAGATAATATAGACTTATTAGATCCGGGTATCATAAGGTATTGGCTATTCACTCATCTTGTTCAATACAAAACCACGATTTTTTAAATTAATTTATACGTTGGTCGTTTTATGATCATAGAATGTCAATTATTATTACTGTTAATCTAAATCACTGCAAAATCTAAATTTACCATTAATATTTATGTATATTGTTGTATATAAATAATTTTAGTTTTTATGGGGTGCGTAAGCTAAGACACATGCAATCCGACCTTAATGGACCGTATAGGCTTCATATTATATGCTACAATTGTCATGTTGGGTACAGATATATGCTAAATAATGCATATTAACTTATAGCCAATTTAGTTTTTTTAGGTATTGTAGGTAATTTAGTCTGTCGGGTCTCGAAGAAAATAAAAATAAATTCAACTTATGTAATTTTCGAGTATATACCTCAAACACAACTTAAAAATACTTCAAGGGTCAAGAAAAAAAAATAGAGTTATTGACACTTTAATGCATATTTATTTAAAATATACTCATGAGTTGTATTACTTATCTGATCAAGTTGTTTTTTTTTAAACATTTTTTATAAGAAATTTACAATCTATTCTTACACGGAATAATAAGCGAATGTGACAAAAAGTATTTACATTTGAATTTTTGAGGGAAGAAGCCACCCATTGGTGACACTACCTATTTTGAGTTTTTTTTTTATTTTTTTATTTTTTTTCCTCTAACTTACTAAGCTTAGCTATTTAAGTTTCAGTTAAAAGGTCGGGACACCATCTTCGTTTAAGCCGCCTTGGGGAATTCCCTGATCTGATCAAGTTCTTCCATTTCATTCATTATAGCTTAATTGCGGTTTAACAAGAATATTTATTTTTTATTTTTACCAGTATCATAAACAATCCATCCCTGAGGTCTGATTCATAGCCACAGATATAGTACCTAAGTGGCGTATAAACGCACAATATTCGATTAACATATTATATAATTTAAGTTCATGAGAGCCGACGAAAATTAATATATAGAATACAAGTGCGATACATTATACATTAAAAGAAAAATAAATCTATAAATAATCAACCAAACTTTGAAGAGATAAGTCACATAAGTCCCATTTTTTTTGTTTTATTTGAGTATATTTAATTATTAAAGAAAACATGAATACATTTTAAAAACAACCAAAATCTCAAATAGAGTTATTACAGTATTTTAATTTAAATAAATTTAGGAGTTCTTAAATCTTAAGTTACGTAATCTCCAATCGGTCTAATTTAAACCTATTTGGTTTATTTAAAGTAATTTTCTTTGTAACTTTCACTAAAATATGGGACAAACTGACAATTTTTATTGATTAATTTTGGTATTGTAACACGTGTAGTAAAAACAATTCTACTAATTTAGCATAGACCAAAATGTATGCGTTCCATGAGTACATAATTTTAAGACTAATATTCGAATACCTACTTGTAATGTAGATTATGCTCTAGTATACTTAAAAGCACTATTTGAGACACACCTGAATGTGTTATTTTGGTCTTACATATGTTGGTTTTTTACAATAATTAAATTTTTAAGTGAGTTATGGTAATTTTAAAATTTTAAATACTCGTCAGTTCATCAATAAAATTATAATATTGTTAAATTAATAGGTACAATAAATTATTACAGATAACGTCCCTGCCTTTATGTTTAGTACAATGTTGGATAATTCATTATAATTTTAATGCTATAATAACACAAAATTGGTTCTGCTGACCACATATTCTCTATGTTGTAAGTTAGTAAAAACGGAGAAAACTTGTACAGATAAATACACTCGTTAAATTAAACCAATAGTCTAATATATATATAAGAAATATTATTCGAGAATATAAGCAAACAGTAAAATATAGTGAGATTAAAGCAATATTAGAAAACTCTAATGATATTTAAAGTGGTAATGATCATTGAAAAATAAAATATTAATAATACATGAAAAATAAAAATGAAACTTGTACATTACGTCTAAGACAGTAGTAAGTAGTTCCAATTAATTGCATAAATAACTAAGTCAATTTGAAAGAAGAAAGTTCGAAGGAATTACTGAACGTAACAATTGTTTATACTTTATAGCATTACATTAGGTATGTTAATGAGATTTTAGATAAAAACATATAATATTAAAATCACGGTGTCGCAAATTCACGCGAGATGATTGATTAAAGAGATTGAATAATATATATCATTAGCCGAGTTAAGTACATACACAGTTAGGTGGGTAGGTAGGTAGGTAGCTATTATTTTAGTAGTGTAATATAATTAACGTTTGTGAAAAAACTAAAAAACCAACATCACAAATAGAAAGTTTAATTAGAAAAAAAATTGCATGATGTTAGTAAATATACATAAATACTGAAGTACTAACTATATGTTTGGTTTATATAAAAATATATACATTTATATATATTACAAGAAACAAACCAAAAGTTTAACTTTTAACCAAATAATTATAAATTATAATAAATAACTTTTTATTAAAACAAAATTTTAATATTAAATAATTTAACGAATCATTTTTTTTTGTTTATACATTTATAAACAACTAATTCTAAATAGATGGTTTTCAAGAACAAACTCGTTTTATTATAAAAACAACATCGTAGTTACATTTTTTTTTTTGATTTGTATCTATCACCGTTCACCGTAGGAGTTTAACAGACCATTAATTATGTGATGCAAATTTGTAGAACAAAAGTGTTGTGGACGGTGGTATATGTTACTATTATGAAGTACTTTCTATTATTAGAAAAACAAAACGATTCTGCGATGCTAACACGTTAACGAACAACAACCTATATAATATAATATTATATATGTTTATCTTAAATGGAGATTTTGTTTGTCAAAATCGATCAGTGAAAGGTTTAAAGCTTCATATTATGTTTACGCGACTGGAATAACATTTGCATTTCGCTTAATAAACCGGAATAGTTATTAGTTGGCTAAAGAAAAAACTGAATGGTTTCTATTTTTTTTTGTTTTTGCTTAAACGATTATGCAATGCAATTCTATAGCTTAAACCTGATGAATTTCCAAGTAAAAGAAAGTTCTAGTCTTAGTGTAACACATCTTTGAATGAATGGAATTTGAAATATAGTAAACTGATTTGGATAACATGCCACTATTGAATTCAAATAATGCAATAAAATGGATTACGTAATATTTTATTCCATTATTATGAGAACAACTATGACGTTAGCTATTTTATTATCAAACTAGGTACAATTTAATGAAAATTAGTAGTGTACCTATACCTGGATATTTATATATACCTACACTCTTATAAAAATTTGGTTATTATTTATAAATCTGTCAACATTTTAGTATATTAATACATATTTAATTCAATTTTTATGTCTTCAAACGTTACGTATGTATCTCCATTCTCCATACATTTCTCAATGTTCTTTTTTATATAGAATATCACGACCAATTTCCAAAATATTTTGCATAAGTTGTCAGTTTTTTTTTATCAATTTTAAATTCTGATTGATTACAATATTGTACAATAATAATATAACACAATAAAATTAAATAAATATATTTTGATCAATCGATTACGTCATTTTATGCTTTGAAGTTTGAATAATACATGACTTAGTAAATAGTAATTTGCAAATTAAAAAATAAAACATAAAAATATCATCTAAATGTATTTAATTATTTTTATTTTTATACCCTCTGTTTAATTATTATTAGATTACTAGAGAAGTTTGCACTCTGATTGCTCTACTCGTCAACACCATTTATATCATAACTTTCAATACCGTGTTCATTATCTTTTTTGGGATCAATATTTCTTCTTTGAATCTATAATAATTCACTGAAAACTAAAAATTGCAATCATTTCGTATGTATAATTGCGATATATAATGGATCATGCATTGTTTTCTATGTGGTTTTTAGAGGCGTTATTAGGTTCGTTAAGCGTACCGATGCACGAAAGAACGAATTGATACTATATTATTATTATTACCTATACTATTTATACGTATCTGAGAGTGTCTTAACTAATTTTACAATGGGGGCAATAGGTATGCAATAAATGTACATTACTGTGAGTAAAAACTAAATAATTGATTTTTCGTTTTACAGTTTTTGGCGGCTGTGATTTTTTGCTGCGCAGCGGTTACAGTAAACGTAGAAGACAAACCGACAGAGAAACCAATCGATAAACGGAACACAGTCAATGGTTATGGTTCTTACGCCGGCGGTTATGCTCCGGCCGTAGATTACGGTGCGGCGGCAGGACAAGAAGGCGTTGCGGCTTACCAATACGCCGCAGCGGCTCCGATCGCAACCGGTCAATACGCCGCGGTGCCGGCGGCTGCTTCCATCGGTGCCTTAGTGGTGCCCACCAACCAGCTGTTCTACCCGCAGCAACAAGCTTACGGATACTCGCCAGCTCCAGCTTACGCCGCCCCGCTGACTTCGGTGGCTTATAGCGCCTATCCGGCCACGACTTATGGCTTCCAGTCACCCACTTACAGTGCCGGTCAGTCGGCTGCTTATAGTGCTGGTCAGTCGGCCGCTTATGGTGCTGGTCAGTCGGCCACTTACGGTTCCGGTCAATCGTCCACTTACGGTTCCGGTCAATCGGCTGCCACATCTGCTTACAGTTCACCACCGGTCGCTTCATATAGCGCATCGTCCTCAACACCATATAAATCAGGACCCGTGACATTCGGCAAACCGGAAGCCGATTTGCAAACCAACTTTGCACCATCTTACCAAACGTCCGCGGGACTTAGCAATTACGTTTCTTCATCTTTCAAGACCAACAAATATCCGTCGTTCTCGCCGTCCTCCTACCCGTCCACGTCTAGCGAATACTACTCATCACAACAATCATCGTCATACGGTTCACCGTCCAAACCCAGTAGTTACCCATCCTCTGTGTACCCATCCGACAACTCGTATAACAAATTCAAGTACCTGCCACAGAGTTCATTGTACGGTGGATCATCGTACAAACCATCCCCATCTGCCCATTACAAACCATCGTCGCCGTACGATGCGTTCGCACCATCTTATGGACAATCTTCGTCCTACTCGTCTTCACCACAAAAGTACAGTGGCTCTCCTTCGTACGGTGGTAGCTCTTCATCTTATGGTGGTAGCTCTCCATCTTACGGTGGTAGCTCTTCTTCTTACGGTGGTAGCTCTCCTTCTTACGGTGGTAGCTCTCCATCTTACAGTGGTAGCTCTCACTCGTACGGTAGTAGCTCTCCATCTTACAGTGGTAGCTCTCACTCATACGGAGGAAGCTCTCCTTCTTACGGTGGTAGCTCTCCCTCGTACGGTGGTAGCTCTGCCTCGTACGGTGGTAGCTCTCCCTCTTATGGTGGAAGCTCTCCCTCATACGGTGGTAGCTCTCCCTCTTATGGTGGAAGCTCTCCCTCGTACGGTGGTAGCTCTTCATCGTACGGTGGTAGCTCTCCCTCTTACGGTGGTAGCTCTCCTTACGGTGGTAGCTCTCCCTCGTATGGCGGTAGCTCTCACTCATACGGTAGTTCGTCTCTGTACGCTGGTAGCTCTCCTTCTTACAGCGGTAGCTCTTCTTCGTATGGTTCACCATCCCCGTACAAACCATCGTATGGATCATCATCGCCTTACAAATCGTCGTCCCCTTACAAAACGCCATACAGCAGCTCTGGTCCATCATATGAACCGTCATCCCCTTACAAGTTGTCTCCATATTCTGGCGGATCATCCTACGAAGGATCTTCATCTCCATACAAATCTTCATCGTATGAAGGATCTTCATCTTCTTATAAGTCACCATCCTATTCATCCGGTTCATTCAAACCAATTGCTTCTTCCTACTCTCAGAGCGAATATGAATCACCGTCATCTTCTCTTTACAGTTCTAAGCCAAGTTCATACGAATACAGTTCTAAATATTGACACAATACAATGTTCCTTTTTTAGATAAATTAATTTTTATGATAAAAGACGTTTAGATTGTATGTTTAAATTTGAAACTTGTGTTTTTTAAAAATGAATTATACAATCAAGTTATTTTGAACTGTTGAACAATTTGAAACATGTTAGTTCACAAATATTTGTTTTTGTATTAATATTAAGGGCTTTATTTAAATTACATTTATGAATTAGTGATTAAAATTATATTATTATAAGTGTAATAATACGTTATTTATTTGAACAGAGATCATAATTAACAGCAATCAAACATTATATTTATGAATTATATAAACCAAATATATCTATAACTATTTTTTTAAATATATTTATGATTTATAATTTTTATACCTGAATAGTAATAAAAATCAATTAATATTACATTGTGAAACAAATGATTCTAAAATTAATTTAAATGTTTAGTCGGATCACATTAGACTTGATTCTGTGATAGAACGCTAAAATCAAAATGCTCTTAAACAATAGTTGGATATTATAGTAAATTATATTTTTTACTATATTGATAGTAAACTTATAAGTGGAAACAATAATAGACATTAACTTTAAATCTATTGTATATTAAATCCTTATCTAATAATTATTATTTTATATACTCTATCTACCAAGAGAACATACAGATTCTGAGAATGCCCACGCGACACTCTACCATTGAGATCGGTTCTATTAAGGAAGTAGAACCTATTTTCATGTGGTAATGGAGTGTTTTCTTTCTGAACAGAGTATAAGTTCTTATAAGCAGTATGAGTTTGAGCTTAATAGTTTTACATTGTACAATAACTACCTTTATTTTTAACCATCTAATCTAAGTTACAGTAATCATTATTTTTGCCATACTTGTAAAAACCCCGACTAAACTACTAATTTACCCCTTAGTTAGAGTAGGTTCTTACATATTTGTATTAATTTTACATGGTTGGCTATTAATTTCTTATATCAATATAAATTTTAAAAAAAAAAAATTAAAAAAATATAAATATAATATATATAAATAAATATATAAATTAATATATATTAATATTAGTATTTGCAGTTAATGTTGGAATCTACAATAATTCAGATTTAAATTGTATATTTGTATGTGTATACTTAAAATGCTTGACTTAACACATCCATACATCTTCAACATTAATACTAATTGAGAACTTTATTAATATTTATTCAACATTAAAATTACACAATTAAACTTGTATTTAATAATTAATTGCGAGTTTTGATAGATAGAGTAAAACCCGTTATTATTTCTGTAAGTATTCAGTTTCAACGATTAATCTAACCCAAATTTATTCGAAAACAATATTTTTATATATAGGTAGTAAAGGGTTTATTGAAATTTGAAATTATTCAGTTACTGTAGTTAGCATAATACATATAGTTAAACTTGTATTTAATTTTGATAGGTTAGGTTAAATTAGTTACTAATAAGAAAATATTGTTATTAGATAAATATTAAATCAAGAAAATAGAAAAGCATTGAGTTAGGTCAGACAACATACAACTTTAAATATTCAATATTTATCAAAAATTAATGAAAATTTAAAAAGTTATTCAGAGATCATTTGTTTATTATAAACTATTGAAAATTAGCATGAACAATTATTTATTAACTTAATAGTGCAAAAAATATTATCCACTTATCATATTTAAGGAATTATTAGCTCAGTATTAATTCGTTAAATGTTAAGAGGACGTTATAGCCGCATGTGTTGTCTCCGTCTTGCAAGTGCGTTACATATGTCTATATAGACTATTTTACTCTGAGTGGATTGACTTCTTATTAAAATTAAAAGAAAGATTATTATCGAGGGCAGCTCATAGGTTTTAAGTTTTTTTTTTAAATTTTAAAGCGAGTTAAAAGTATCTTAAAATTTAAAATTGCTTGTAACATCTTAAAATACTTAAAATTCGTTTGGAAACTAAAGGTTCTACTGATAGAATCTATTGTTTCCAATTCCCTTTTTTAAAAATAAAACGTTCTATCATTCATAAAACATATCGATTCCAAATTAATTAATTTTTACTAATAATTATTTTAAGTGTTGCCAACCTTGATAAAATAAATAAAGTAGATATTTTAGTAGTTGTATTTAGGAAAAAATATGTTTACTGATTTTATAGTATTATTAACAATATTACTAAAATAATATTAATAAGTCTTTTTTAAGTAAGTCTTTGAATTAGATATTCAAGTAGTAAAAAAAGCAAGTAGGTTTTTACTAATTTTTAAAATTGAACAGTTAACTCTTAAATGTTTTTTAACAAATTAAAACAACAAAAATATGGTAACAAAAATAAGTAACATAATTAACAACTTTTTTTTTCGTGCACCATTATACGTACTGACCTGACCTTGGTCATAAAATTTATTTTGAAATAGTAATAATATAATAATAATAATTACTATTATATTTATACAAATAATTCAGAATACTTTTATAAATTAATTACATTAACATACCTATATCGGTATTTTAGTATATCATCGACGTACCGCGTGTGAAATGTGCCAATTTATAATAACATCAACAAAGATGCACGATAATTATTGTATGATTGCATACACTTATTTCAGATAAAGATCAAAGATCAAGATTCTATCTATTATTATTAAATATATCTTTTGTTATGTCAAGAAAATCAGTTGAATCTTATTAACAAGTATACATATATAATAAAATGATTTCGACCATCTACGGCCTCCGCTCAAAATAGGTTTTCGTATGCATTTACTTATCATTAAAATTAAATTTGACATATCCTTTATAATGACCATGGCTGTACGGTTAAACCCCATAAAGAGGTACACTTGACAGTTGAACGTTTACCAGCATTTTTTACATGAATATATGTTTTCAAACTCAAATTCCAAATTTGATGGTGTTACTGTTTTTAAAATGTACTGCTTATACATCAAATTTAAAATAAAGATAAACCAATAAATTATAAAATTTATCTCTGTAATAGTCGAGCTGTCATAGTTGTATACTAATAGCTAATAATAAAAAAAAAAAAAAATTATAAAATACACATATTTTTCCTGCAATTGATGGTTTCATGATAAAATCCTATAATGTTTTCATTATTCAATATTTAATTATAATTAGTATATCTATGTACTAATTAATTAGAATTTAGTGCACCTATATCGTTATTATATTATACTACCTAACTAACTATTAAATATAAAATAATGAAAACATTATATTAATTATTGTCATAATAATATTATATTTATATGAATTAAATATTTTAAATTTAAAAATAAGGCTATTATAATATAAAGTAATTCTTTTAAAAAATATACAAAGGTCAGGGAAATTATCACGCTCAAAGAACAGTCTTTTCTTCACTTGTTGTTAATTAAAACATGACAATTCCTAAAAACCGGTGTCAAAATTAAAAATAATTGTATAACTATGAACAGCTAAAATGTGTAAACCTTTTAAAACACTGATATTTGTTTGAGTATTCTAGTTTCTTTTTTTATGATCTGCTGTTTTCTTGAGTGTTGTTGATTTAGGCTAATGTAAAAATAACAACTAGCTTTGGTACTATTTGGTAATATAATACAATCAAGGATGGTACTTACGAGTTAAGATACACTTGTAACTTTTACATTTTATGTATTCGACGTTTATTTCTAATATTAAATGTTTTACGACGATTTCCTTAACATTTATTTAATGAACAAATGTTCATAACATAACTGAAACACCTAACATATTTTAATGCTACAATGAAGTATTAATGTGTAGGTTAGGTCCAATGACCTTTACTATACGTCTATACGTCTATACATTGGAATTTACAATAAACGAAGATGTATTATTTTATTTTTTAGTTTATTTTCAATATTTTTGTATCATTATTGGATTTAATATCTCCTTAACGTTTGACTAGGTACTTATTTGTATACATTTTATTTTTATCAAATATTTAATTTATCTTAAATATAAATTCTATGTTCAAATTTAAGCGTGAAATCAATTATATATTATACTGTGCCTATCTTAAAGACTTAAGCTTTATTATTTAAAAGCTGGTCTAATAATACAAAAATGAAAAATGTTTATTATTTGTGTTGCATACACTCCAATATAATACTATAGCTTTGCGTCAACTTCGTATTTTGTTGTTTATTATAAGGAATGAAAAATCGATAAGTAGGTATTATAATTGTAAGGAATTTATATGTATTTATTAATAATCTATAATCTGTTATTATGTGTTTGAAAATATTTGGTATAACAAATTCTAGTCTAAAGAATCAGTTTTTTAATGTATTATAAAAATATATTTAGGTACTACAAAATCTTGTTATGGTGTTGCAATAATTGTCTATTTGATAGAGTAATACATTTTTAGTTTCATAAAAAATAAAATCAACAATTAATATTATTATTAATTAAAGAAGAGTATATCTATATAGTTTGATACGGTTATAGAAGTTAGTTAATTAATACTTATAAGCCGGCGATTGTGTGGCTAATTTGTAGAGATCAATGACAGTTTCCACTTTCCTATCATCAATTTGAGACGCTCCCAGTGAAGAATAAATAACATTTTGTTCTATTTCTCTTTCAGTAAATAATTATAACCAGACAGTATTTATTTAAAACTCATTTTGGATTAAAACAGTAAACCAAAAATATTAATATTATGATTTTCCTATCTGTCATTCATAACACGTTCTATATCTTGTATAACTATAAAGATATAATTTAATATTGATAAGTTTATTCATAGGATTGAGACCAATTATCATTAAAAATGTAAGCTATAATGTAAGTTGAAGTATTTGTACCGAAAAAAGCTAATAGTCAACGATGCTGAGGCTAAATGAAAAAAATTATCATTTTAATAGTTTTAAAAATGTTTTAACATATTAAACAAAATTATTATTATCATCACACCGAGATAAAGTAAATAAAATCATAACTTTAAAATGTTGGACTTAGAATGGTGTTATTTAGCCTATTTTAATATTTGATGGAGTAGATGATACATAACGTCCTTAATATTATTACAAATCTATGCTGATATTCAAAATGTATATATACCTACGCTTTAAAGTTTAAATATCTGATTCTGAGCTTATGTTTAAACATACTACGATTTCTATTAAATTTATAAATTAAATGTTATTTTGTTTTCATTCGTGTGAATAGAATTTGTTATTGAAAGAAAATACCAAAAATCTTGATCATATTATTCAATGGCAATAATGTCAAAACTAAACAAAAATACTCATCAACGACCTTGTCATTAGAAAGTATTCGTCGCAGTTATATCGCGAAAACCAGTTATACGCCTTTTACTTCCCAGTCTTTCTTCGTTATTGGCACGAGTTTCGAATTCGAATGCAATATTTCAATGTTAATGTATCATAGGTTTATCATATTGCACACAAACATATTGGTAGGTAGGTAGGTATTTAAAAAATATACTAAAAATATTGCTGTTATTTTCGAGCGAAAAATAGTTTTGCATTTTGTGGTGTCGAAACTCTTTCAAATAATATTACGTTATTCATAAACATAATATACTTGCACTTAAATAATGGGCCTTGATACACATAATGTTGTTTGTATAACAAAATTACCGTCGGTAATCTTTAATCGACCAACAATGGGGCTAATATGATGATGGATAAGACGTGCATTTACGCACATTGTTCCGGTTACAAAAAATCTGAATTGCGTCATAGAAAAATAATTATACCATTTTGTTAAATTTTTTATAAGTATCTTTTTCTTGTAAGGCGATTTGCATGTCCTGCACAAACAATGCCTTTTCTCTTTCACTTCCTCTTAGATTAACGACATAGGTATCCTGTATAAAATGACCAGCCGTTAAGCGTTTTAGTTTGTTTTGTTAAATTTAAAAGTTGAATTATGAGATTACAAATAATTATTGTTACGTAGGTCAGTCATAAATGTAATGCAAGCGTATGAATAAAGTACTTATAAATACACCATAAGTGTATTTTCATATTTAATACTTAATTAACATCCGGTTAACTGTCCATAAATGTATAAAGTGACATTTCTAGTTTTGAGTGCTTTGTAATAATATATTTAATGCTGGTTATTAACTTAACATTTCAGTACTTTTTAACTTTGTTTTATTACCTACGTGGCCACTTGTATATTTACATTGTAAGAATTCATTTTTTCCCCAATAGAAAATAAGGTGCTGATCCATTTTATTTTACTCGTATTGTCTGAATTTGGCTTGAAATAAAATATACAAAATATATAAATTCAAAATACAATTTATACATATACAATATACTTTAGACTATATAACCTTTGAGTGAGGAAAATTATCATTTATAAATAATTATCATAATATTATTGCATTTCTAACATTTTACTTAACTGTATGTTCTTCGTTTTGACTAATTAAATATTTCTGTACAATATAGAAGTGCAAATTAGTAGCTTTCCTTGGATAATTTAACTTTTCGCGGGATTGTTCCAGTATTGTTTAAAAACTTATGGATCTGCCGATAGCATAGTTTCAAATTTATTTGTTTGATTCATATTGAATTATGAATTATAAATTATAATTATATTTATCATGCAGTTACAAACTAATTTTTTTTTTTTTAAATATTATAACATGATTTTTAATATGTAGTTATTAATTTATTAATTACTCTATTAATAACTTGGAGATACGAATATTTTATTTGTATCTATACTAACTATTTTTACACTATTTGATTTTCAGACGAAAGTAGCTTGCATGATCTTAGAATTTATAAGGTTATAGATCTTTTGAATCGTAATTAGATTATTTACATTGTATTGCGATTTGCGACTCTAACAACTCTTGCTGATAGGGTTTTACTGGATCATATTATAATATACCATAATATTCTACCCAGTATAGGGGAACATAGGAGGCAAATGTAATGTGATTTTATAACATACTATATATTATATCTATATGAAACCCCCTATGAAATATTTGATCGAGATAAATTAGATGATTAGATTAAATAAATATTTTTTGTTTTTGAATTTCATCTATCTGTTATTTTCTTGTGAGAATGGCTATAATTAATTTCAAGGTGAGAATAAATAACTAGTTCTTCATACATTTTACAATATTTTAATGTAGGAACCTCCGTATTTTAGTTTTTTTAATTAAAAATGTATACAGTTTTCAATTGTGCTGCTTAGTTTGAAAATAATTAGCTTATGAGGGACGTCATAAAAGTCTTGTGCGTAAAATCTATAGCGCCCGTTATTTGTTTTTAATCTGTAGTTTATTATTACATTTGTAGAAATATCTAGTAGTAGACTGAAATTTAAAATTTAAATAATTCTTAAATAGCTACCAAAGGTTGACTTTAAATTATAAAACAAAACAGTAGTCAGAAAAACTGTAATAGCCACTAAAAGGCATATTTTTTGTATACAAATATTTATTTATTTTATTATTTTTGATTAAATTTAAGAAGTAACGACATGCAATTAAAAATGTTATTTCTCGTAATTTGAAGTGCCTATTAAGTTATCCATGTTCAATGTTAAGATTTGAAACATAGTCTTATTTAATTCAACTATGTGGGTGTACAGGAACATTTTTTATTTTTTAAAAAACTAGTTGATTAAATGTTTTTATGCAAATATTATGTCTTATGAGAGATATTGTATTACCAAAGATATATTATCTTTTAAATAACATTTAATTGTAGAATAGTGGTGAATAAATGAATATTTTTCATATTTTAGATTTTATGTTTAGTCAAATATTAAGTGGCCTATTATACTCCCCCTTTCCGGATTACCTGAGTAATACAAATGATTAATGGTTTAATAATATTTTACACATATTTTGACATCAGGCTATTAGGGGGTTCTAAATAATGTTCACGATTAAATTTAAATTATCATCAAATATATTTTTTGTCATAGTATATAATGTTTAGAATGTTTAGATACAATATGTACCAACGACCAATGATTATTGTTCCGTATTATAATACATTTAATTACAGTATTACAGTATTTGTTATAGGTATACATAATATACATTTTTTAATATATCGTTGATCAATGCATGACAAAATATACAAAATATGGGGTACCTGTTGTACGTGTCTCATTTGGTAAATTTCGCCGAACCATTTAATGCAAGAGTGACAAAATCCAATCAACACAACAGTGGTGGGGGTAGCTGCGTGCAAATGACATTGCCCGTGACATGGCGCGTTTACATCGCGTGATCGGTGAACCTATTCGATTATTATATTTAGGAAGCATAACTATATATATAGGTATATACAGTAGGGAAAAGATCATGGAGGTGTTTCCTCGTCGTTTGCTTGAATGAAAGCGATTTAAATTACCAACAATCCGTGCGCGATTTGGAGCAGAATCCCCTCCTACCGTTTCCCATGTGGTCGCGAGGGAAATACATCTCGAAAATGTAGCTGTGGTCATTTTCGCACGTTTCCCGGCTCCAATAGTGTGTAGAGAGTGATCGCGGAAAATCTTGTCGTTATCATGTTACCTACGTTTGCAGTAAGTGTATATTATTAATAATACGTAGAAATAATATTTTAAGACTTAACTTTATTTTACATAGGTGATAATACATCACTATTCACTTCAACCCAATATAACATAAGCCAGTGGTCAAAATACATTAATGGCACATACAATTTAATTTACTTATAGTTCGTATTTATTACAGCATTATCATGAAATACGAAATAAATATTTCATAAATTATAATACGTATGGATATTTTAAAGTTCATAGAAATAATAATTTTGAAGCTTTATTACTCAATACTTCATGGAATAATCACATGTAAATTGTAATCTGTACGTATTGTTCCTTGTGTTATATACTTATATGTAGGTATCTTTGATCAATGATATTTATTTTATGTCTATTTTATCATATGAAATAAAAGTATAAAATTAAAGACAAACATCTTAATTAAAAATAATACATCATAACAGTCAAGTACATTATAATTTTTATTATTACTTTATATATTATTATTATACGTTTTTATGGAGTGTATTTAAAAGAATATTGATCATCCTAACTAATAGTATTTTCATTTTAATTTGAATAAACATTATTCAATTTGGAACAAAAATACCTAATTAATAAAATACATTTCTTTCAATGTATGAGACAGCTTTAATTTAAAAGTGTATAACCTTTAAAATTAAATTAAGCAGGTATTTATAAATTATTTTTACATTTATATTTACTTTTAAATACAACATACATTTTAAAATTATTTTATTATTAGAAATAATATGAAATATTAAAATTATTTAAAATATATATTATTTGAATGTAGATAATAGAATACTATTTAATATTTATTTATAACTTCGTACAAACTGTACATCATTGGGTAATAAATAATCCCTCAGTAGGTTAGATGGTTTTCAGTTTTCACACCTCCCTCTCACCGTAATTCATGTTGTTAAATCTTGGTTTTATTTACAAAATTGACTTATTGTACATAAATTGCAAATTATATATAATTTATATATACTTTTGTTTAAATAAATAAAAAAAACAAAGGTAATAAATGAAATACGAATGACTGTATAATAATTAAGACAAATATATAGTTTGGTCAAACTAAAAATAGACTTTTCTCTTACTGCAAACAAAAAAAGAATTAGTACAATTTTAAATTATTAACTACGACTAGCTAATTTTAAATGAAATGATTTATTGTTAATTCAGACTCAGTGTAGCATAATTTAATACACTGCTATAGTGCTATGTATATCCAAAAAAGGTTCGTATGTATGCATGCACCTATGTACGTAAAGTTTGAAAGAAATTTAACATACAAATCCATTATTTATATACATTTTAATAATATGTAGCTTGTATAGATATGTTAATTTTCAATACATTAAGGAACAATTGGGAATATAAAAACAATACAAATATTAAATACCAATAATTTTTTTAGTATTACGATTTTGCTAGTCATTTGATTTTTTTTCCTTATCGAATTTCCAGTGGATATTATTCTTCCGCCCTGCTAAATAATGATTATTCTTTTGTCTTAAATAATAATACAGTGGGCAATATTATCCACTTTCCCCAATTTTTATAACACGCCAATGATTCGTATCGGCTTACGATTTTATCGTATTTAGAGATTATAGTTATCATCGTATCTAATTACCAAATCATTATTTCGAATGACTTCCATTTTAACTTACAATTCTATGTACCTAGTTGATTTATTTATCGTATAGTCTGAGCGTTTGAAATGTTAATAAAATATTTTTCATCGAACAGGCAAAATAACTATTTACTCAATTTTAAGGGTTCATGAAATGTAAATTTAGGTTCTAAATTATTTTGCGATTATTAGCAACTAATAACACTTGTTTAGTATTTACCCCGGTTGACCAAACATCGCCCAAATTAATGTATACAATTATATTTTCAAATGATAACTCCTTTAACTATTTTTTTTTATCTTCTATAGATATTATATAAATATATAATATTAGATGGTGATTAACCAAACATACTCGATATTCATCTCATTTATACTTTTAGTATTGCATTCATTATAATTAGAATAATTATATTTTTGTACAATTTAAGAGGTATCCAAACTTTTTTTAAAAAATAAGAGCCAACGTTTGTACAATGAATTGTTAAACATATAATTTTTTTTCGAAAATGTTTTTACATCGAATTCGAAATTCACACAAGTATTTTTTGAGTCATTAAACTTAGTGTTATGATTATAGTAGGATTCTGAAAATATTGGGACAAAAAAAGGGAAAGATATTGGGTGATTTGAAAATTATAGGAATAATTATTAATTTGTTTATATTTTATAATTTTTAGAAACTGTCGAAGTATAATGAGTGTTGGATTAAATATTATTTTTTATATGTAATTTGTAATTTATGCAAAACTATTATAATGATATATATTATTATGTCTATTATTATGATACCTACTTACCTCATACATGTTATTATTTTAAATAATCATAAGCTACTCGTTATAATTTAGGTATAAATAGGTGCAGCCAATCATCAGAATGTTCAAAAACACCATTAGATTAAAATTGTATAGTAAAAAATACTGATTCTGATTTGGAAAAAAGAAGATTGTGTTGCCTCGTGGTTTTACTTGAATTTGATAAAAGTCTAATTATTTGAAAATATGGTCCGTCAGGCTTATAAAAATCAGACTTTGAAATGATGCGCATTATTAAAGAATAAAAGGGGGTGAGCACTGAACATGCTTGATGAAAATCACTCTGTAAACTATATACTTACATTATACAATATACACGCATGTAATAATACGTATTATTTATTATTATTATACTTATACTTAATGGCTTTTGTAGTTATGTATAGGGTAAAATAATAAGGAACTACTGATAAAGTTACCAAAGCATAATTAGTTATAAGTTTATAACTTGCAATTTTTGGTAAACTGTTTACTGGAGCTCAATTTAATGAACAGTACCTTCTATAAATTACGGTAGAGGGGATTGAACCAACCCATGTAAAATGTAGTAAATTAAGCCAAATCATATATATTTATGGATCCATCCGCGTTTGAGATAACGTGAAAAACCATGTAACCACAATAGAATTGTTTTATGGTTTTGCCAAAGACAACACGCAATCACATTAATACCTACAGCATCATCTAGTCATTACAGCACAATGCTTTATATATTTGACAACCACTAGATTTTAAACCGAACACGTTTCCTGAAAGATGTAATTAGTGAGTTCTTGGTGACCTGTTTGTAATAGTATACTAATGTATTATGGTTCGGAGCGACTGCAGCAGTACCTAGATAGAGCAGCATGTTAAATTGTAAGAAAAATAAATACACTATTTAATTACAATTTTGTTTGTTTCAGGTATGTTTTTGGGCAACGACCGCGTTGGCGGCGTGCAGCGCGAAGACTAGGGTGCACTATGTACGTGCAGATGACAGGTCACGGCGCGGGGACCCGTACTACTACCCGGAACGGTTGCAGTCTCGGGCTTCATCAATTTTTGGACCTTCCATTCAGACCTCAGCGGCCGGGTTTCCGTACAGGTTTGTCTTTCCGGCCAACCACCCAGCTCTGAGCAGTTCCATGTACTCGCCGTTCGTGCAAAATCCGCATCAGCCCGAACCCGCGGCGTACTCGGCCGAGGATCTTTTCGGGCCACAACCAATGACCAAGCAACATCCACTGTCCGATCTCAAACACCGGCAGCACCAGCAACAGCAACAAAACCAGCAACAACAACAGCAACAACAACAGCAAATCGGCTATGAGTCTATGGCTAAAATGCAATACGACTTTCTGGGCGCCGGTGGCGGTGGTAAAATACAAGCGCAACAACAACCTTCTGCAACTTACCATCACCACCTGATCAAACAGCCAAAACACTATCAGAGCTACGAATTGGCGCCGAACTCACTGCAGCAGCCCATGCACCAGCCACCTTATCAATCGACACCCTCTTCCATCGGTCAGCCGATCATGCTGCTCATACCTTCTTCCGGCCAGCCCGGCGCCCCATACCAGACTCTGGTCTTGGTCCCTTCGTCAGGGTCGCCGTCTCCGCTTCCGGCGCCAGTATCTCTATTTCCGGGTTTCCACCAACAGGTCCAGCACCAGCACGGTCCTCCCGGCCAGCAGTTTGTGCAGCAGTCCGGCGGTTTCGTCACCACACACCCACGTGGCCCTCCACTCGTCGCCGGCTTTCCGTCCGGTCTCGGCGGTGGAGGCTTCGGTGGCGGCCTAGGTTTGGGCGGCAGCGGCATCTCCGGACTCGGGAAGTTCCCGGGGGCGCAACTGTTCCATCGGTCGCATGAACCGCTTCCGAAACACCCGATCCATCAACAACACCAGCACAAGGTGTCGTCGTCGTCGATACCATTAATGCAGCCGACGTCGTACCAAGGTTCCGGGTCGACGCATGTGTCACACACTACGGCCGCTGGATCGGCAGCGCAACAACCGCTCGAGGACAAGGTCGGCCACGGTACCGGGACGTCCGGTGAAAAGTCTGACGACCGTGACGACGATGGCAGAGACGGCGGTAGTGGCAGCACCGAAACCAAAAGCGAAGACAAGTCGCCCGAGTTCGGTGACAAGACCACCGTAAAACCCATCAAACGGATCGTGGTCACGTGATGTGCTAACGTGAATAATAATATGAATTGCGTACGAAATGTTTTAGTATTAATTCTCCTGCGTATTCCCATATACGGGTGATTCACCAAGCATACTCACCTTAATTTTTTCCTTTAATCATAATTTGATTCAAATTCAAATTTTTAGAATTCTCAAGTATACATAATATAATACTTGGACCATATTTTCAAGCACTAGAAATTTTATTTTAATGCCATTTAAGAACTAAAAAGGTCAGTAATCAATTGTTAATTAGTTAACCTATTTAAAAATATTTATGTATATCAATCACACTTCGAAAGTGTAATTGTTACGTTATTTGACTTTATATATTAACTATTAGGGTCCATTATTATAATGGGTTATGATTTTTTTAAACAATTTTTTTAACCCATCATGGGTTTGAAAGATGGGTGCTATGATGATTTAAACATTTTAGTTAATATTTAAAATTTTTAGTTTTTAAAATGGTCTAAAGTATAATAAACACTATGTCTAATATTATATCTGTTTTATATTTGTTTAAAACCATTTTTAAGAACTTACTATTATCCATAACTAGCTTATACATTGTAATATCTCAGAAACCATTTGTTCAGATTTTGATCTAGGTATATCAACTTTTTCAAAAAAAAATATTTGCTTACCTCACAATATTTATAATAATACAAACCCCATTTGAAAAAAAATTAATAAATTGTATCAGGTATACAAATCTAAATAATTGAAAATATGTTCTTTCATATGTTTACAAATTATAAAAATTTGAATTTGAATAAAATCATTATTAAATGAAGAAATAGAGGTGAATGATACTTGCTGAATCGTACTGTATAATATAACATAAGCACCAACATTCATAGTATACTTTCAATACAACAATAATACTTGACACGGTTTATCCTTAATAATAACTGCGATGGTGCATTACTTTTACGGTGTGCATAGTGATATATTATTTTATTTACTAAATTTATTGTTTGTTTCGTTTTCCGTTGATTAAACGACATTTCAAAAATCTTTGAAGGAATAATTAATAATTCATACAGGTTTTCATCGATTGAACGATGTTCTAAAGACTATTACAAGATCAACATACTTGGAATATTTTTAAAACTAATAAAAAACTTTTTTGCGCCGTTTGTAACTCAAAAACTTGAAACCCGTGTATATATTACATTGTATTCCAGCAAGTAGCGACCCCATAAAAAATATTGTTTAATGTTATTTATTTTTATAAATTTAGGATGTCTGTAAGTTTTAAGTAACTGTCAATTCAGTTGTCAAATTAACTTGTGTCAATTTACATCAACTTAAAAACTGTGAAATTATGTTTCAAAATAAAACTTTATTAATTATAATTTAGTTTGAATAGTGTTTTTTTTTAAATAAAATATTTGTTTATATTTTTACAATTTACAAAACGGTATGAAATTTATTTTTATTTGAATTGTTCGTGTATAGGTAAATACCAATTAAAAAATGTTTTGGTAAAACATTTGGCAAACAATGAAATTTTGCTCAATTTAATAATTTTCATAATATGTGTAATAATTTTTTCTTATCAAAGTAACAAAAGTATAAGATTTAATATGTTATTATTGCTTATTAATGATTTTACATTGAATTTATATCAACAATAAATAATACGTGTAAACAGATAGCATATATTTTATTTTACTTACTTAGCTAGACATAAATAAAAATTTAAAAATAATGTAAGTTATAAGACTATTGGTATAGAATATATTGTATTGGATAATCTCATGAAAAGTTGATGCCTGAAAAGAAATTTCGCAGAATAAATTTTTAATACGATCATTTTTTTTTAAGGAAATATTTCATGTTCTAACAATTCGAAGAATACAATATGAAAACCAAAAACGTAATGGAATGACGAATTTTTATTAATATTATCGATTGTTGATGGTGTAAGGTTTCCGAAGAACAATGAAAAGCATTAATAAAAATGATAATAAATATGGACTTCCTAACTGAAAATTTCTTCACTAAAATAGACAATACTTTTAATAAAAATAATAATAATAATGTACGTGTGTGATGAATTGACTCAAGTTGTTCTAAAAAGTGTTTCGAATCGTATTCGTTGTGGAAACGGTTGTTTTTTATCATTATTCTTTAAACAATATTATTTGTTCAGGTCTGTCCATCTTGTGAGCGAGCAATGTGTGTTGGTCCTCTCGTTTATTATACCTGATGAATTTAGAAGGCAGATTTCGCTTTCATCTATCAGTTTTTAGAGACTATTCCGTTTCTTCAATTATCTATGGCCTGACTTGTCATTAACATTTCTTTTATCTACAAATTGTTAATTTTTTTGGTAGTAAAATAAACATTTAAAATGTTGAAGGTCGTCTGGACGAAAAAAATAACTACATACCACTACGACTACAAAATCTCAGACATGAAAGGGTTTTTTATTACTATTCATATAACAGCACAGGTAGTGGTCATAAAAAAAAATAATGAAACATATCACACTGTTATCATCGATATAGATTTTTAGAGATGGTGTATTACTAATGTTTATTGCAATGACCTATAAGTCAACAATACCTATGTAATTTGGGCTTTGAAAAAGATATCTAACCGACGGATTTTTTATGGCTAAAAAAGAACCCCACCTCTTATGCAAATCCTGTGGTATTAGTTTGGGAAATTGTAATTTGTGCCTCAAATAGATATCTACATTTATGTGAGTATGTAATCAAAATATAAAAATAACATGTGATTTGCAACACGTCTAAAAATTAGTCTTGGTAATCTGCTCCAGGATAGAAAACAAAACGCCATATGTAATACACTCCACACTTTCAATTTCAATTGTTGAAATTCACCTCATGAATTGACAGAGTTGACGTCAGTTATAGCACATAAAACGTGAATAAATAACATGAACTATTAATTTACAGTTAATTGTACAGTTTATTCAATAATATTTTAAATAAAATATGGAACTAGGTCTACTGTATAGTAGTTATCGAGTGTATAGGTATAGGACAAAACATTACATACGTAAAATTATGCTGAGTGATGACGGTATATTAGGCTATATATAAGTTTTTTGTTATATGATATTATATATATTTTATATATATTGTTATTATAGTAATTTATTTATTTTACTACAAGTGATACGGAAAGTACTAAGTAAGTTGAATTAGTTTTTAACGAGAACGTTATGTTTATTATATATTATAGTTATTAAATAATAATAATAATATTATATTTTACACCATATACATTATTATTATTAACTTTTGACTTTTGAGTCAATAGTCAATACCTACTTACCATATAGAGCGGTCTAATGGAATATGCTATTGGTATAAATAGGCAATAGCATAAATTAATATGAATGTATTGAATAAGTCAATGTCTATACAAAGTATAGTTATATAATAATATACGTAGCAGTTTCAAGTCCTTATTGTAAATAATATTTTTGAATTACAACAAAACAACTAAAAACGTAATTTTTTGTTTGAATATTCAATGTTGACAAATGTTAATACTGAAATGTTCAAAAAAAATTATGATGGTATATTTTTTAGATTTTTAGATTTGAATAGGAAATATTTAGAAGAAACCATATAAGAACCTATTAAATGTTCAAATTTTAGCTATTAAAATTGAACTTTTTTTCTTATATTGCCTAATGTGAAAACATACTTAAAAATAACTAAAACTATTTATTAAAAAATTAACAGTTCATGTTATTTATTTAACTACGGTATTAAGGAGTCATGTATAGATGATGCAATGTACATATAATTTTGACCAAGAAAAATTATATTTTTTTAGAGTATAAAGGCTTCAATAGCTGGGTAATTAGCCCCATAGTTATATTTGTATTCATATAAATAAGTTAAGCTGTTTGCTAGTCTAAAAAAGATTGTTTCATTTACGGTTGGACATTTTTTTTTTAAGTTATTCATATGTTTACATGGTTATCCTTTGAGAGGCAAAACATGGTTTTGGAATGAACCATTTCTATACAGACTCAGTCTTAAAAGGTTAAAAAAGTACTAAATAAGAAATAATATTATTAACAATTTCAACTGTTTGATCTTTATATTATTTTTATGCTAGTAGTTGTTTAAAAAATTTTTTTTTAATTGTTAATTCTACATTATATTAATTTAAATATAACAAATCAAAATATATAAGAAAACGAGAAAAAAAACATATCTTTAGGCCAATAAATCACACTAAAATAATTTTTTCATTATTTGTATTATTTTGCATACGTGTAAAATTTAAAATTTAAATAAGTTTAACATGTTGATTTTGTTGTTATAGATGTACATGTTTTAAGTACAAAATTACTATAATTCGTCAAAACTTTCTTCAAAAAAACTCAAGCTCAATCGAATTATAATCAATATTAGTTATTAAATAAAAACAAATTGTATTGTTATTGATTATAATGTTATAATTTACATAATATTTTATTGTTACACTTCAATAAAAATATATTCTTCAGAAAAATATATAAAAACCTTATAAGAAAGATATAGACTTCACAATATACATGAAATCAATATTTGTTTCATATATGGCATTTCACATAATACATATATATGAATCAATATATTAACAATATATATATTTGTATCATAATGATTGTAATAGTATATATAATGTTATAATTTATGTTATCAGAAATAGAAGAATAGACATAGATGTTGATGTACAATACTACGATGCACATTAGGTTAAGTATTATACTCATTACTCCAAGTTTATTATAAAATGTATTGCATAAAATGTATAAACAAAACGTAAAACAAGTATTCAATTAATATTTTAATTCAAAAATTATCGATAACATTGAACATTTTTACCAATTATTTCTATAACAAAATTTTTATTCATCACCTCATCGGTGTTTAATTTTTAGTCTAGAAATAAAATTATTACAGACAAAGCGTAGAGAACGACGTATGTAATGTATGAAACATTTAACACTAGTCTACTCTAGATTTAAATTATTAGTAGTGATAAGAAATTGACTAACTTAGCTGTGAAATATTTAATATTACTTTTGATATTAGATGTGAAACAAAAAAATAAGTTAAACATTTAATTATTGTGTTATCCTCAATCATTACAGGTATCCAATAAAAATCTTAAATTAAACTTTTGTTTGGTAGTTATTTTTGGTTTTAATTCTAATATGTTATAATATAGTATTCTTGGGGAGACTAATACAAATATATTAAAGTATAAAAGCAAATTATTGATTTAAATTTATTTGATGTTTTAAGTTATTATTTTACACCAAACAATAAAAAAATAATTTTTTAGGCTGGTTTACTTTTGTTGACCTACAAAATATTTTGATTTAGGATTTGTATGAAACATGCAAATTAAATAATTTTGAATAGTTGTACTATTTCTTAATATTCATTTAATTTTGTAGAATAAATTCGTAGAATGAATTCGTTAACTACTCGTAGTAATATAAATCTAAACAACACACCTAATTTTACAGTTTAAGTGTCTAACGATTAATTTTCATAAGACTGAAGGTAATACTTTAATATTCGTTTAATAGTGATGGACGATGTAACATAACTATTTTATAATTTATAAATTACTCAACCATATCAAATATTTTTCATTTATAATAATAATTATTCATATTCATATTAAATATTAATATTAGTTGAATCAACAAAAC